TTTGACTAGATTGCCCCTACTTGGAGATTGCAGCACCTCTGCCACTGCCTTATCTAAGAATAACTGTTGTCTTCTCTCAGGAATTCAGAAAATATTTTACTTACATCCTAATGCACAAGAATGCATTACACTACAGTTATCTGATGTTGCAGATTATAAACTCTCCTGAGTTCATCCAGGAGGCGGGGAAGAATATTTTAAGCTTTCCAGAATTGGCCAAAGTTTTGCCCCTTTCAGCTTGTTTTTTAGACCATAAGATATAAGAGCAGAATTAGGCTATTCAGCTGATCAAGACTGCTCCGCCATTCGATCATGGCTGATATGTTTCTCAACCCCATTCTCCGGGCTTCTCGACATAAGCCTTGAGCTCCTTACTAATCAAGACTCTATCTATCTCTTTCTTAAAACTAAGTTAAATTTAATTTAAATATATTTCTAAATGGAGCAGGCTCAATGGGCCTCATCATCTTCCTCATCCACTTTGTTTGACTTTTTTTGCATGTGTTTTACAGTTCCATTTCTTTTTATCCACTGTAGTCACCAAGTGTTGCGTTTCCGCATCAACAGTCAGGAGCAGCTTGCTATGGTGAAGTCCCTGGCAGAATTGGACTATCTGAAGGTAACTGCCTATTTAACCAAGATATTTTTCTTCTCAAAGACATTGTATCATTTGGAGATCCTGGGGTCTTGAGGCAGGCATTCATAATTACACATGTGCATATGGGATGACTCCAAGACTGTAGACATCCATTTCAACCAATCCTCCTTTCCCTCTACACCCTTTTACAATGCAGTCGTGGTGTCACATTTCCAATCTATCTTGTTTACCTGACCGTCTCTTCTACTCTTGGAGTTTTATTGAAGCAGTCCCTTCACTCAGGTTTCTCAAAAATTCTCTTCTCTGTGCTTGAGGATCAGGCTTTGTGGCAACTGAAAAAATGAAGTTAAGCCATCAGTGTTTGGTATCATTGCTGGAACTGGTTGATAGGGCTTTGGAACTATGACACTGAGCTACTCAGAGAAGTAACCTGCAGTAAAAAAAATGTTTTTCCATAGGCATCCTGAAGTGTTTTATAAACAATAACCCACTGCTGCAATTTATAGACAGCAAGTTCCAGGAACATAACTGAAGAAATGACCAGTATTCTGTCACAAATGAGGTTGCTTAAGGGATAAATAGGACATGAGGTTATCACCCTGCTTCTCTTCAAAGTAGAGCCATAGAAACTTTTACTACCAACTCAGAAAGAATATCTCATGTGAAACAGCACCTTTGACATTGCAGCCTGCTAGATCAGCAACCATTCACACCTTAAACAGCCATTTCCTCCACTATTGGCTCACAGTGGCTGCAGTATGTACCATCTATAAGATGTACTGCCATCACTTGCCATGATTTCTTTGATGGCATCTTCCAAACCCACAGTGTCTACCACCTAAAAGAATGAGGGCAGCAGAAGGAAACACCACAATGTACAAGTCCCTCCAAGTCCCACAGTGTCTTGACTTGGAACTACATTACACTGAAAGCTGTTTCCTCACTGTCACTGAATCAAGCTTCTTTGTAACAGCACTGTACATGCACACCAAATGGACTGGATTGGTTGAAGAAGGCAGCTCACCAGCACCTTCTGCAGGGCAATTTCAGATGGACAATAAATGCATTAAAATAAATGTGCAGGAATGAGATTTGAACTCAATCTTTAGTCTCTGGAACGAGTGTATTATCAAAGCTGATGATACTTCATATGATATTTACTAAATATTGCTGTTAAATGTCCATTTCTGTCTCCTTTGCAGCTTGATTTCTGGAAAGAACCTGTAAGCATCTCCCTTCCAATTGAACTCCGAGTTCCTCGCAAGCATGTCCGCACTGTCAAATCCTTCCTGGAGTCTAATGGTATCATATATTCTGTCATGATCAAGAACTTACAGGTAAATGTGGGAAAATTTCACACTTCTAGGCCTTGCCGTGTGAATTGCCAGTTTGTGACTGAATGGGAAAACATGCTACAACAGTTAAATAAAAACCAAAAGAACTGTGGATGCTGTAAATCAGAACAAAAACAGAAATTGCTGGAAAAGCTTAGCAGGTCTGGCAGCATCTGTGTAGAGAAATCAGAGCTAATGTTTCAGGTCTATTTCTGTGCTTGAAGGGGAACATCCCAAAGTGGAAACATCCCAAAAATTCTAGATATTGTCTCAACAGAGGCAATTATAATTTAAAAGTGACATTTTTAACAGATAGATATGGATATATGTTTTAACCCTTATAATATGAGTTTATATGTGTATTCAAACTTTTATTTCTGCCCGACGGAAGAGGGTGGAAGATCGAATAACCGGGGTGGGACGGTTCTTTGATTATGTTGGTTGCTTTCCTGAGGCAGCGGGAAGTATAGATGGAGTCAACGGACGGAAGGCTGGTTTGTGTGATGGACTGGGCTGTATTCATGACTCTGTAGTTTCTTGTGGCCTTGGGAGGAGCAGTTGCCATACCAAGCTGTGATGCATCCAGACAGGATGCTTTCCATGGTGCATCTATAAAAATTGGTAAGAGTCCTTGTGGATATGCCAAACTTCCTTAGCTTCCTGAGGAAGTAGAGACGTTGTTGTGCTTTCTTGACCATCATATTGATGTGAGTGGACCAGGAAAGATTATTGGTGATCGTCACTCCCAGGAACTTGACACTCAGCAATATCTGCCTCAGCACCATTGCTAGGCATGCCCTACACTCCACTTCCTGAAGTCAATGACCAGCTCCTTCGTTTTGCTGACATTCAATGGAGAAATTGTTATCTTTACACCATGCCGCTAAGCACTCAATCTCTTTCCTGTGTTCTGTTTTGTCACTGGAGATTCAACCTACAATGTTGGTGTCATCCACAAACTTGTAAATGGAATTGTGGCTGAACTTGGTCACAGTCGTGAGTTTTTAAGGAATATAGTAGGGGCCTGAGTATGCAGCCTTGCAGGACACTGGTATTGAGGATTATGGTGGAGGAGGTATTATCATCGGTTCTTACTGATTGCGGTCTATGGGTCATGAAGTTGAGGATCCAGTTAGAGAAGGGTTATTTAGGTCTTGGAGCTTGGAGTTGCATTTGTTTGGAATTATGGTGCTGAAGATGGAACTGTAGTCAATAAGTAGGAGCCTGATGTAGATATCATTGTTATCCAGATGTTCCAGAGATGAGTGTAGGGCCAGGAAGATGGTGTCTGCTGGAGACCTGCTGGAGATGGTGTGCTGGTAGACAAATTGCAAGAGATCAAGGCATTTTGGTAGGCTGGAGTGGATGTGAGCCATGACTAACCTCTCGAAGAACTTCATAATTATGGAGGTCAGAGCAAAGGAGTTGTAGTCATTGAGGCACATTGCATGATTTTACTTTGGCACTGGAATGATGGTGATCTTCTTAAAGCAGGTGGGAACTTCAGATCATAGTAAGGAGAGGTTTAAGATGTCAGTGAATACTCCCACCAGCTGGTCCACACAGGATCTGAGTGCACAGCTTGTAACATACAAAATGTTGTATAAGAGCAGTCACTGGACTGCACCAAGTAATTTATTGCCTAAAGTGCTTTGAATTGAGATTGGATACTTTACAAACTTGAATATTATCAGATATATTTCTGATTTATGGCTCTTGAAACTGAATTACTGTCTAATCTTGCTTTTCAGTCTTTGGTGGATGAACAGCATGTAAGCACGTTGGGTTCTGATCAGGGACAAAATGGGACCAACAGTTTTAATTATAGATCCTACCACACACTGAAGGAGGTAAGATACTGTGTAGCTTATGCTGTTACCTTCAAAAGATCTCTCTCTCATGTTGAGACAACAGTGTGGAGTTGGAGGAACATAGCAGGCCAGGCAACATCAGAGGAGCAGGAAAGTTGACATTTTGATTCAGGACCCTTCTTCAGAAAGTTCTGCAAAAGGGTCCTGACCCAAAGCATCAACTTTCCTGCTCCCCTGATGCTGCCTGGCCTGCTGTGTTCCTCCAGCTCCACACTGTGTTGTCTCTGACTCCAGCATCTGCAGTTCTTGCTATCTCTCTCTCTCTCATGTTACTAGGTTTATCCTGATAATTTACATTGCTACTTGTTTCATTAAAAATGAGATATATTTTTGTACAGTATCTTTAACATAGTTGAACATCCCTAGATATTTCCTAGAAACGTGACAAAGTCTAAGACCAAGTCACAAAGAGCTATTGAAGTGATGACCAAAACCTTGCGGCAAAGTAGCAAATTTTAAGGAGTGTCTTTTAGAATAATAGTTGGATAGAGAAGCAAATACACATAGGAAGGGAATTTCAGAGTTTATGGAATTAGAAGAAGCACAAGAAGTGGGAAATGGATGAAGGCAGAGATATTTTGTAGGATTGGAGTAGATTCACAAAGGTAGGGAGGAGCAAAGCCATGGAGAAAAATGAACACAAGGTGAAGAATTTTAAAATCAAGGTTTTGCAGGTTAGCAATCCAAAATAGATCAGCAAGCACAGGACTGATGTGTGAAGGGAACTTGCTGAGAGTTAGAATATGACAAATTAATGAGGCTAGAAGCATGAAACTAAGAAAGACATGGAAGAGGATTTCAGTAGCACTTGTTATGGAAGTGAAAATGAGTGGTCTTGATTATGCAGAGAATACAAAACATGATTTTTCAGGTGCTCAGGTTTCCCCACTAATGTCAATCAGCCTACGGCCTTTTAATGCCCTAAGGACTTTTAATTAGCTGGAGATAGGATTTTCAACCCTCACTCAAGAGGAAGTCATACCTCAGAGAGTGACCAGTCAATGTGATTGACCAACAGCTCTCTAGTTCATGCAGTGCCCCTGGGAGCAGTGGCCATTGCTGGAAATGCAGGCAATCCTCAGATTCTAAATGTCAGGAGCACACAGGTACAGATAAGTGTTGGGAGTTTCACAGCAAAAACTACAATAAAGCAGGGGGAGGGGCATAAATCATGGGTCTTCAAGCATGCTGCTCCTGACTTTGGCTCTGGCACCAGCCCCACAGCCCAACCTCTCTGCCCAAGCATAACAGCACTGCCTCCAGACCTAAACACAGTAATCCCACTACCCGCAGACCCAAGCAAATTGGACCCATCACCCCAGACCCAAACACAGTGGCCCACCCCTGACCATAGAATAACAATCTACCCCTGATCTGAGCACTGTAGGTCTTCTAGAAACCTGATATCAGTTATTGGCACCAATGTAACACCACCACCTACCCCCACCCCACCTCACCTCTGGTATTGTTGGGGAATACCTTTGAGTGGGGCCCAAAAATTCAGAAAGATTGTCTATGAAGGTGATACTTCACTTATTTGCCCGAGGTCCAAACAAGGTAACCTGCTGGAATTTGATCTGCCCTTTCTCATCCCTGACTTTCTCCTGGTGCCCTGAAAATTACAACTGGGTGCCTCCTTTTGGGGTGGCTGCCCTAGTGCTCACCCAACGCCTCATAAAATTTCAAAAGTGTCTAGGGAAAGTGGAAAGGTGGCAGGAAGGCCACTGGCGAAATTGTATGCCCTGGTACCACCAGCCTGCAAACCCACAGGCAGGGCCCCCTGTAAAATTTTACCTGTTGTGTTACAGAGTCATAGTCATAGTCATAGTGATGTGCAGTACAGAAACATATCCTTTGGTCCAACTCATTCATGCTGACCAGATATCCTAAATTAATCTAATCCCACTTGCCAGCATTTAGCTAATATCCCTCCAAACCCTTCATATTCATATAACCATCCAGATGCCATTTAAATGTTGTAATTGTACCAGCTTCCATCACCTCTTCTCACAGCTCACTCCATACACGCACCACCCTCTGCATGAAAAAGTTGCCCTTAGGTCCCTTTTAAATCATTCCCCTTTCAATTTAAACGTATGCCCTCTAGTTTTGGACTTCCCTACCCTGGGGAAAAGACTTTGGCTATCCATGCCTATAACTCTTTGAAGAAGTGACGAAGAAGGATTGATGAAGGCAGAGTGGTGGATGTTGTCTATATGGACTTCAGTAAGGCTTTCAACAAGGTTCTGCATGGTAGATTGGTTAGCAAGGTTAGATCACATGACATGCAGGATAAGCTAGCCATTTGGATACAACATTTGAAACTACAGGGTCAATAGCTTAAACTCAGACACTGTGTTTAACATGTCGTCTGCCTCAGCCTGAGGCAGTGACCAGGCAGAGGGATGGAGGTGTAGCCAGGGAACAAGGTTTGTGGTGCATCATGAGAAAATGGCACAAATGGACCTTTCACTTGGATTTAAAGGGTGGATTCAGTAATCTCACATTCCCATGGGGTGACTGACTCAATTATTACACAGGTGGGAGAATCGTGCTGGTCACATCTCTGTCTCTGATTCGTGCTGTCTTGAAACTCAGCATCCTGCTTCGATCACAGGATGATTCAATGATCTTTACAGATGCCTCTGGTTTATAAGAGGCTGGCTGACTACATTATCCACATTCAGTTGCATCACTAAATGTGAACATCAGGACCTGACGGCAGCCAAGAACCATGTGAATGTGGGTTTGTGCATCTGCCTAAGGTAAGGTGCCATGAACTTACACTCTGAGTGTTCAGATTCTATAATGGAACTCTGACCTAAGGGTAATGTTGGACCATGTTGTATCATTGCCTTGAAAGTACGTACCTCTCCTCATCTATGGGTAATGCTCCAACTAAAGATTAGGAAGAAGGTTTCATTGTGAAAAGCATTCTATGAAAAGATTCCTTATCAACGCATCCAGGGAAGGCCCAAGAACCTTGCACCTTATGAACACTTCTTGTTGCATGGTTTAAGTTACAATTCAGGAATACATTGATATGTCATGTACATTCTCCATTTTTGGTTTCTCCCCAGATTTTTAGATGGCTGAAGGATCTTGCTGCTGAAAACCCGCAATTAGTCCGAAGAATCAGAATTGGTATAAGTTCTCAAAGGCGAGCTCTTCATGTCCTTAAGGTTGGTCAGAAACTGAAGACATTTATTTTCTCATCATCACACAAAAAGCTTATGCTGTTTCAGCGTAGTTTGCTGGTGCCCAGCTGATAACTAATTGTCACTCAATAACATAAAATGTTAACCTCAATCATATACTTGATAATTGGATTCATACGACAGTTTCCTGTATCTCTTCCTGTATCACTGTATCTACTTCAACAGTTCAAGAAAGCCGCTCACCACCACTTTCTCAAAGCCAATTAGGAAAGCCTACAATGCCCACATCCCATAAACAACTATTTCTTTACAAGATCACATTCTAAATTACACGCTAATGGGTGGTGTGATGATGGGGTGCAGTGGTGGAAGCGTGGGAGTGACAGTTGATTATCTTCTGAGCTTGGAAGTTGAGGCACATTAGTGAAATAAAAGAAGCACATAACCCATGTTAGAATTGATCCAGGAGTATTGTACACTGTTCGGGAAGGAAAATCTAGTTTAAGGTGCAAACTGCTGTGGCTGATTTTACCTTCTCTGTTTCAATACAACCCAAGTTCAAGCAAGAGAAAGTGAAGGAAGATTTGGCCCTCAAACTCAGCTAAAATTGTCAGAATGTTCTCACTTTGTTTGTTTTAATAGGTAGTTACTCAAAGCTTAGACAGTCCAAGTACAGGTCATTGGAAATTGTCTGGTCGAATGGTATAGTTCTAGCATTCTGCAGCTCTCTTTATTGCAGCTAGTCATCTTCCCTATTTATCAATTTTACCATAAGCAGTGCCACTGGAGCTATCTTCTTGCTCTTAATGTCTGAGTAAGCCATTTTTTATGTTCCTTCTCCTCTTTGCATCCTCACTGAGTCGGAACTGAAATGATAAATTGCAGGTACCTGTATTATCAGGGGAATCAGGCCAGATTCAAATCACAGGCACACAGTGCTCATTTCCAAGCCTGGGTATGTACAGCTGTGTGGACTTCCTGATAGTTCTACTGCCTTCCAGGAGTGTGAGAGCTGTGGAACTGACCCCTCTCTAACTCTAAACTATTATTTGCAGAACTGAAAAACCATTAAGCTCCTTGACTCAATCTGTTTTATCTTCCATGTACAGTCTGAGAATTTTTAAAGCACTAACCTGTTATTAGATAACCACTAATTCATTTATTTACATTGTATCCTCTGTGTTCTCATTAACATTCGTAATGTCCTGCACGTTGAACTCTGTCTCAATATACAAGTTTCTTAATCGAGAGAAAATATTATAGATAGGCACAGGTTCAGGCCTAAACAGAAGCTGCTGGAAAAGCACAGCAGGTCTGGCAGCATCTGTGAAGAAAAAATTAGAGTTAACGTTTCAGGTCCGGTGACCCTTCCTCAGAACTGATGGTAGCTAGCAAAACGTCGGGTTTATATGCATAAGATAGGGAGAGAGCGGGGTTACAGAGTAAACAATAGATGGGGATAGAGCATAAAGAGAGACAAGAACAGCTGGATAGACAAAGGAATTGATAATGATCTGGCTAGGAGGGTGAATAGCTGTTAATGTGGATTGTTAGTGACTAACAATAGATAGTGTGTAATGGCAGGCTATGTGATAACAAGGCCTGGTGTGTGGGTTAGGGGGCTAGGACATGGGAGAGTTCAGGCCCTAAAATTATTGAACTCGATATTGAGTCCGGAAGGCTACAGTGTCTCCAAGCGGAAAATGAGGTGCTGTTCTTCCAGCTTGCGCTGAGCTTCGTTGGAACATTGCTGCAAGCCTGAGACAGAGATGTTGGCCAGGGAACAAGGTGGTGTGTTAAAGTGGCAGGCAACTGGAAGCTCAGGGTCTTTTTTGCGAGCAGAATGTAGATGTTCTGTGAAGCAGTTACCCAGTCTATGCTTCACTTCCCCAATGTAGGGGAGACCACATTATGAGCAGCAAATGCAGTAGACTAGATTCTGGGAAGGGCAGGTGAAGTGTTGCTTCACCTGGAAAGTATGTTTGGGGCCCTTGGATACTAGGGAGTGAGGAGGTAAATGGGCAGATGTTGCACCTTCACCGATTACAGGGGAAGGTGCCGCGGGGCTGTGTTGGGAGTGAAAGGAGAGTGGACCAGGGTGTCCCAGAGGGAACAGTCCCTCGGAAGGCAGACAGGGGAGGGGAGGGGAATATGTGTCTGGCGGTGGTATCTCACTGGAGGTGACAGAAATGGCGGCTGATAATCTTCAGGATGTGGATGCTGGTGGGATGGTTGATAAGGACAAGGGGAACCCTATTACTGTTATGGGAGGGAAGACAGGGGGCGAGGGCGGAAGTATGGGAGATGGGTCAGACCTGGTTGAGGGCCCTGTCGACAACGGTGCTGGGGAATCCTTGGTTGAGGAAGAAGGTGGCCATTTCGGAGGCTCCCTTGTCAAAGTTGGTCTCATCTGAACACATGCGACAGAGTCAGAGGAACTGAGAGAATGGGATGGAGTCTTTACAGGAAGCAGGGTGCAAGGATATATAGTCCAGGTAGCTGTGGGAGTCGGTGGGTTTATAGTGGATATTAGTGGCCAGTCCATCCCCAGAAATGGAAACTGAGATGTTGAGGAAGGGAAGGAGGAAGTCAGAGATAGACCAGGTGAAAGTGAGGGCAGGGTGGAAATTGGAAGCAAAATCAATTAAATTTTCCAACTCCGGACAAAAGAGTGAAGCAGCAACAATGTTATCATCAATATATCGGAGAAAGAGTTGTGGGTGGGGGCCAGAATAGGACAGGAACAAGGAATGTTCCACAAACCTCATGAAGAGACAGGCATAACTGGGGCCCATGCAGGTACCCATTGGCCACGCCTCTGACCTGAAGAAAATGAGTGGAGTTAAAGTTAAAAGAGAAGTTGTTGAGGGTGAGGATGAGTTCGGCCTAGCGGAGGAGGGTGGTGCAAGTGGGGACGGTTCAGGTCTTTGCTCCAGAAAGAAGCGGAGAGCCCTAAGACCCTCCTGGTGGAGAATGGGCGTGCAAAGGCATTGCACGTCCATGGTAAAGAGGAGGCAGCTGGAGCCTGCAAACTGGAAATTTTGAAACTGGCGAAAAGCTTCAGAGGAATCATGAATGTATGTGGGCAGGGAATTGGACCGGGGGGAGAAGACTGAGTCAAGGTAGGCGCAGGAGCAGGCTAAAACAATGGATCTGCCTGGACAGACCTGTTTGCGGATTTTTGGAAGGACGTAGAAGCAAGTTGTGCGGGGCTGGGGGACTATATTTGGAGGCAGTGGGGGAGAGATCACTGGATAAAATGAGGTCAGATACAATGGCCTGATGTGTCATGATGGGGTCATGGTCCAGGCGAAGATAGGAGGAGGTATTTGAGAGCTGGCGCTGAGCCTCTGCAATGTAGACGTCAGTATGCCAGACTACAACAGCACCACCCTTATTGGCAGGCTTAATAACAAAGTCAGGGATAGATCCAAGCACATGGAGTGCAGTCAGTTTGGAGGGAGTTAAACGGAATTTGGTGAGGGACAGAGAAATTGAGGTGACCAATATCACATCAACAGTTCTCAACGAATAGATCGAGTGCAGGTAAAAGGCCAGACGGAGGGGTCCAGATGGAGGGAGAGTGTTGGAACTGGGCGATGGAGTCTGTGGGATGGGGAGACATCTCTTGTCCAAAGAAATGAGCACGGAGGCGAAGATGGCAGAGGAAGAGTTCGATGTCACGTCGTGCCTGAAATTCGTTAAGGCGGGGATGCAGAGGAATAAAGCAGAGGAATAAAGCCTTTGCTGAGTACAGAATGTTCAGCATCAAAGAACGGAAGGTTAGGAGAGATGGTGAATACCTGACAGGATGTGGAGTTGGGGGATGGGATGAAGTCAGAGGGAAGGGGAGGAGAGGAAGGTTTTAGAGGGCCATGGGTATCTCTGAGTTGTTGAATCTTGTGGCCCTTGATGCCTGAAAGGAAAAGAAAAAGTTTCTTGTTAGCACGGCAAATGAGCTGGAGGATGAAGCGGAACTGCAGAGTGGTGCAGCCCTGAGCCAGCGCGTGGCGATGCTGTTAGAGAGAAAGGCTGAGTGTGCATGTCATGCCGCATGGCACTTACTGTGGATCTCAGGGTGCGTCCACGCTTCCTTCACTCCCAACACACCCCCACGGCACCTTCCCCTGCAACTGGAGAAGGTGTAACACCTGCCCATTTACCTCCTCCCTCTCCAGTGTCCAAGTGCCCAAACATACCTTCCAGGTGAAGCAGCACTTTACCTGCACTTCCCAGAATATAGTCTACTGCATTTGCTGCTCACAATATTGTCTTCTGTACATTGGGGAAACAAAGCATAGACTGGGGGACTGCCTCACAGAACATCTACGTTCTGCTCGTAAAAAAGACCCTCAGCTACCTGTTGCCTGCCAATTTAACACACCACCCTATTCCCTGGCCAACATCTCTGTCTCAGGCTTGCAGCAGTGTTCCGGCAAAGATCAGCGCAAGCTGGAAGAACAACACCTCATTTTTCACTTGGGGACCCTGCAGCCCTGTGGACTCAATATCGAGTTCAATAATTTTAGGGCCTGACCTCTCGCATGTCCTAGCCCACTACCCCACACACTAGGCCTTATTATCACATACCCTGCACACCAGGCCTTATTATCACATAGCCTGCCAATACACACTACCTATTGTTAGTCACTAATAGTTCCCATTAACAGCTATTCACCCTCCTAGCCAGATGGTTATCAACTCCTCTGTCAATCCAAATGCTCTTCTCTCTTTGGGCTCTATCCCCACCTGTCGTTTACTCCCTACCCCCTCCCTCTCCCTATCTTCTGCATGTAAACCAACCTCCCACCCACCTTCCTGCAAAAATGCCATCCCCTATTCCCAATTCCTTCGCCTCCGCCACATCCGCTCCCAGGATGAGGCATTCCACTCCCGTACATCTCAGATGTCCTCGTTTTTCAAGGACCGCAACATGCCCCCCTCAGTGGTCAAGAACGCCCTTGACCATGTCTCCCACATTTCCCGCAACTCATCCCTCACACCCCCTTCCCGCAAGAACAACCAAAACAGAATCCCCCTCATCCTCACTTACCACCCCACCAACCTCTGGATCCAATGCATCATCCTCCGACAATTCCGCCATTTGCAATCCGACCCCATCACCAAAGACATTTTTCCCTCCCCACCCTTATCTGCTTTCCGGAGGGACCAATCTCTCCGGGACTCCCTTGTCCGCTCCACACTCCTCTCCAGCTCCACCACACCCGGCACTTTTCCCTGCAACCGCAGGAAGTGCTACACCTACCCCTACACCTCCCCCCTCACCCCCATCCCAGGCCCTAAGGAGACTTTCCACATCAAGCAGATGTTCACCCGCACATCTGCTAATGTGGTATACTGTATCCGCTGTTCCCGTTGTGGCCTCCTCTATATCGGGGAAACCAAGCGGAGGCTTGGGGACTGCTTTGCTGAACACCTACGCTCAGTTCGCACTAAACAACTGCACCTCCCAGTCGCGAACCATTTCAACTCCCCCTCCCATTCCTCAGACAACATGTCCATCCTGGGCCTCCTGCAGTGCCACAACGATGCCACCCGAAGGTTGCAGGAACAGCACCTCAAATTCTGCTTGGGAACCCTGCAGCCCAATGGTATCAATGTGGACTTCACAAGCTTCAAAATCAACCCTAGCGCATCCCAAAACCAGCCCAGCTTGTCCCCGCCTCCCTAACCTGTCCTTCCTCCCACCTATCCCCTCCTCCCACCTCAAGCCCCACCCCCATCTCCTACCTACTAACCTCAGCCCACCCCCTTGACCTGTCCGTCCTCCCTGGACTGACCTATCTCCTCCCTAACTCCCCACCTACACTCACCTTTACTGGCTCCATCCCGGCCTCTCTGACCTGTCTGTCTCCTTTCCACCTATCTTCTCCTCTATCCATCTTCTATCCGCCTCCCCCTCTCTCCCTATTTATTTCAGAACCCCCTTCCCCTCCCCCATTTCTGAAGAAGGGTCTAGGCCCAAAATGTCAGCCTTCCTGCTCCTCTGATGCTGCTTGGCCTGCTGTGTTCATCCAGCTCTACACCTTGTTATCTCTTATCCTAGTTACCATCAGTTCTGAGGAAGGGTCACCGGACCTGAAACATTAACTCTGATTTTTTTCTTTACAGATGCTGCCAGATCTGCTGAACTTTTTCAGCAACTCCTGTTTTTGTTCCTGATTTACAGCATCCGCATTCTTTTGGTTTTTACAGGTTTAGGCTTCCCTGTTCTAACTGCCATAATGCTGGGCTTACATCAAGAATATTGTTACATGTCGCATATCTCCCTATGTTGAGGTATTCCAGGCTATTGTCATTTATCCAGTATCTCTAATACAAGGTTGATGACTTATATGCAGTGTGTATGTGCTAAGCATGCAAATTCTTCAGGAAGTCATCAACACATCCCTTTAACTACTTATGCCAACCTCAGTAAAACCAAATAAAAACCAAAAGAACTGCAGATACTGTAAATCAGAAAGCAAAACAGAAGCTGCTGGAAAAGCTCAGCAGGTCTGGTAGCATCTGTGAAGAGAAATCAGAATTAATGTTTTGGGTCCGGTGACCCTTCCCCAGTTTTCAGGTAGGGTCACTGGACCCAAAACATTAATTCTGATTTCTCTTCACAGATGCTGCCAGACCTGCTAAGCTGTTCCAGCAACTTGTTTTTGTCTCAGTAAGACCAGATTGAATGTCTGCTCCAGTGTGTGTATCTTTTGTTGGTTTTCATCACAGGGCTAAAGTGGGTGCACAACATTCTTTATGTGTGAGATATTAACTTGTTTCCTGCTGAGGTTAGTCACTACTATTTACGCATGACTTTGCTGGAGTGGGGGTCGGTTATCACGATTCAACTATCATAAATTAGCGCTCAGTCACTTTCTGTAGCACTCAAAGTCTCCTGCAATCACGGCACAATAAGAGCTAATACGAGAATGTATATGTACAGAAGTTGCTTCACTACCTGTTGCATCTAAACTTTTACTTAACATAATCTACTTAATTCTCCAACAGCGCTGATCTGTCATTAGACATTTACTCTCTATTGTTCTGTTGAACCTATTTTTCTAAACACCTTGTTCAGACATGTCATTACACACCTCTGGCACAGGTGGGACTTGAACCCAGGCCTCTCGGTCCAGGGGTAATAAGTCTTTAATTGGGCTGTTTCTTTCATTCAAACAGTTCAGCACAGGACGTAACCGTCCTGCCATATGGATCGACAGTGGTATCCATGGCCGTGAATGGATAGCGCCTGCCGTCGCAATCTGGATTGCAAAGAAGGTAGGAAAACATTTCATAAACTAGTGGGGCAAATTTCAATGTAACCCACCCACAGAGAAACTAATTGGACCGTGAACAACACTGAATTACACGCTCTTGGCCCAGTTTTAGTTTCCAGTGAAGTCAGTGGACGGCAATGTTGGCTAAGGTGTAAAATCATTCTCTGCCTGGTCACTGGGATTTCCCATCTGGTGAATTTCGCAAAAATAACCCACAAATCGTGTGCAAATTTATCTGATTCCTATATTGCATTCCTTAAGGACTAAGTGATCACAATTGTTCTGACAAAAATGGGAATGTGGTGGATATTGGTCTTTGTAAGAGATAAGCAGTGGACAGCAGCTGAAGCAGGGAACAAGAATATTTCTGCAAGTGGGGAAAATTGAGCAAAATTGTGAAAAACACCCAAGCATCTGATTATGAATTATCTTCCTGTTTTTGTGTGTCATTAGATCACGACTGATTATGGAATTGATCCCTCCATCACATCATTGCTGAATAAAATGGACATCTTCATGGAAATCATGGCGAATCCAGATGGCTATGTTTACAGTCGGACCACAGTAAATAGTTCAGGGTTTCTGACCTTATTGGTCCTGTTTCATTATGTTTCTAACAAAATCTTTTGTTGCCAGTTCCCTCCCTCAAAACAACATCCTACATTTATACACTATTTATGACATAGGAACGGCTTCAAAAAAACATTTGACATGGAGCCACATAAGGATGAATTAGGACAAGCAGTTAAAACTTGCTAAAAATAAGTGTTAGATTTAAAGGAGTATCTTAAAGGAGGAAAAGAGGTGGTGAGGTTTACATTCTAGTTCTTGGGGCAAGGTGCCAATGATGCAAAAAATAAAAATAAGTGATATATAGAGGCTAGAATTGGAGGAAAACAAAGATTTGAGACGATCACAGGGTGATAGATTATAGAAGAGATAAGGAGAGGCAACTCACTGCCTGGTGTTATTAAAGTTTCATCACTCCAAGGAGGTAATAGAGAAGAAAGTTTGCTGTCAGCATTGAGGCAAAGCCCAAAGAGGCAGATCTTCATTAGTGAAGTGGTTGAGATGAGGATTGGAGGTCAACCAGCTCAATAGAATGTCTCAGAGGGAGGAAGATATTGAACAACAAGTGGGAACATTGGAGGACAGAAAGTAAACTTAAGGTGCAGTCACACAGATAGGATGTTTGCTGAGTCCCATGGGGCAAGAGGTCTGAGCATAAGAGAAATTGAGGTTTAGACAATCTGACGGTGGGACAGAGATCTATGGCTTAAAATTCTCCCAACAGAATGTTAACATGCAATGAAAAGCAAGCTGGGAATTTTATTCTGGGCAGTTCCACCAGTAACCAAATACCCAGTTGGCTTGTAGCCAATATCAAGGACAGTCAGACAATGTTATATAGTCAAACAATCTGGCAAACTAATATCATCTTTTTCATGCAAACTTGCAAGATGAATTCAGTTCATTGTGACAGGGGAACTAGAATATTGGGATGATGGGGACACAGGGTTTTGCATGGGACCAGACAAACTACACAAAGCTTGTCATTCCGCGGAGGTTTTGGAGATCAGGAAGGACAGAAATCTTGTCATCTTTGAGATGATGAGATTATGGCTAATGGTTCAGAAGTAAAGAGGCTGAAGTCTGGCAGGGCAGGCAATGTTAGAATTGGGAAACAAAAGAAAAATTTCTAATGTATTTGAGAGGCCAGCTGTTTGAAGAGAGCAGAGTACTGGACTGCATCAAACAGTGATTTGTCAGAAAGCTTGGTTAAACGCTAATAATAAATAAAACATTCTGTCTTTTCAGTGGGACTGAATTACTCTGTGGCTCATGGTCCAGCTGCTGTTGAAGTGTTTATGGTTCTTTTACATAATGAGGACACCCTGGAAATATTTACTCAGCTACTAAAGATATCATAGCTTGATAAAGCCTGTAATAGTCTAGATGTTAGAATGGGGAGCCCGCAGTCAAACTTGCTTACTGAGCAAACGGAAGCACTGAGGTAATATTAGGAAGGCAGAGAATTAATTCATTCAGTACATAATAATTTGGTGCCTAGTGAGATCAGACTTTATATTTCATCAGATCCAACTGGGTATATACATAAATAGTAAAAACAAAGTGCTGAAGAAACTCAGCAGCAACTGTGGAGAGAGAAACGGAGTTAACATTTCAAGTCCAATATGACTTTTGCTTGGTACACACTGGACGTGAAACGTTTACTCTGTTTACAGGTGCTGCTAGATCTGCTGAGATTCTCCAACACTTTCTGTTTTCAGATCTCCAGCATCCATAGTATTTTGCTTTTGTTTTAGAGTTTACATTGAGTATTATTTTGTTTAAAAAATGTATACATTTCTGAACTATAATGACCATGACATTCATTTTCAGGAAGTGACAGACTGACCTGTGACTTGAGACACAAAAACAAAGTTGCTGGAAAAGCTCAGCAGGTCTGGCAGCATCTGTGGAGGAGAAAACAGAGTTAATGTTTCGGGTCCGGTGACCCTTCCTCAGAACTGGAGATATGACTTGTGACTTGAGCTTATGTCTTCATTTGTAGGAACTACTCACTTCTGGTTAGAAGATGACTTCTGTTAGTATGAGAGGGAGAAACAATGTACGGGGCAGTTGATGAGGCTCACAATATACTCATGAGTGTGTTTACTTCGTTCTGGTGCGTGAGTGCAGATATTTTTAATCGCACTGCATGCCATGACCAATTTAATTCCCTCACTCACTGTGACATGTTTATGGAAGGATTTATTTGGCCCCAATTGCCATACCATGTATGACAGGAACTCCAATTTGCATTTGTGTGTTGTCAACATGTGGAATGACTTTCTGGTAAATTGGTAATGGAGGCAAGAGCTCCGGAAGCACACGAGATGATATTGAGGTTGGTTGGCTTGCCGAGCTGATTTCTTGTTTCACAGACGTTTCATTACCCTGCTGGGTAACATCATCAGTGCAGCCTCCGATGAAGCGTCGGTGTGTTTTCCCGCCTGGTTTATAAACTCTGGAGTGCGTTGAGCTGGACTGCCTCACTTCCAGTTTTCCTTCGTAGTGGAGTGTATATGGGGTCAAGTTCTATGTGTTTATTGATGGCTTTCTTCTTGGAGTACCAGGCTTCTAGGAATTCGTGTGCCTGTCTCTGCTTAGCTTGTCCCAGGATTTTGGTGTTGTCCCAGTCGAATTGGTGGTTCTCCTTATCCATGTGGATTGAGATGTGAGAATATTGGTCGTATCTTTTTGTAGCCAGTTGGTGTTTGTGTACCCTTGTTGTTAGTTTCCGTTCTGTTTGTCCGATGTAGTGTTTCTCACAGTCTCTGCAGGGAATCTTATAGATGACGTTGGTCCCGTCCATGGTGGGGAGTGGGTCTTTAGTTCGGGTCAGCAGTTGTCGTAGGGTTGATGTGGGCTTGTGTGCCACTGTGATGCCCAGCGGTCGTAGGAGTCTTGTGGTTAGTCTCAATGTGTTCCTGATGTAGGGTAGTGTGATGAGTGCGTCAGGGCGTGTAGTATCTTCCTGCTGTTGTTCATGTCGGCATCTTCTGACCCAGTTTTTTGGATATCCATTATCCTTGAAAACCTGGAAGAGGTGCTCTTCTTCCTCTTGGCGTAGTTCTGTGTTGCTACAGTGTGTTGTTGCCCGTTTAAATAGTGTTCGCACGCAGCTTCATTTGTGTGTGTTGGGTTGGTTACTGTTGAAGTTCAGTACCTGGTCCGTGTGTGTGGCTTTTCTGTGTACTTTTATTTGGAGTTCCCCATTTGTCTTGCGCTCTACCATGATGTCCAGGAACGGGAGCTGTTTGTTCTTCTCCTCCTCTCTGGTGAATTTTATTCCAGTGAGGGTGTTGTTTATAAGTTTGTGTGTCTCCTCTAGTTTGGTCCGTTTAATGATGACAAAGGTGTCATCCATGTAGCGTATCCATAGTTTTGGTTGGATTAGCGGAAGGGCCGTCCTTTCTAGTCTTTGCATCACTGCCTCTGCTATGAGTCTGGAGATAGGTGACCCCATGGGTGTCCCGTTGATTTGTTCGTATGTTTGGCCATTGAAAGTGAAGTGGGTGATGAGGCATAGGTCCAGTAGTTTCAGCATGTTGTCTGTGGAGATGGTTTCACTGGCGTCTTGCTCTTGTTCCAGTAGTTCTGTCATTGTTTCCCTTGCTACTGGTATGTCTATTGGTGTGAATAGGGCAGTGATATTAAACAATATCATGGTCTCCTCGTCATCTATCCTTATGTCTTTGATGGAGTTGAGGAATTCTTTGGGCTGAGTGGATTGAGTGGTGTGACTTGTTGACTAGGTGCCTGAGTCTCCTTTGTAGTTCCTTGGCTAATCTGTGTGATGGAGTGCCTGGTAGGGCGACAATGGGTCTAAGGGGTACTTCCGGCTTGTGTACTTTCGGGAGGCCGTAGAATCAGGGTGTGTTGGTTCCTTCGGGTTTCATTCTTAAGAAGTCTGCTTTGTTGATCTGTCCGGTCTGTTTAAGTCTTTTTAGCGTGTAGAGGATTTTGTTGCCTAGTTGCGGTGTCGGGTCAGTTTGTACTGGCCGGTATGTGTTTTCGTCGGCGAGCAGTGCCTGTGCCTTGGAGATGTAGTCCTTTTTATTCAGTATTACTGTCTTGCGCCCTTTGTCTGCGGGTAGTATTGTGATGTTCTTGTCCTTCTTCAGTCCTTCCAGGGCCTGTCTTTCCAATGTGTTGAGGGTGTTGAGTTCGCTCCTTCTGGTTAGTGTTGGGATTACTGTCTATCTTATCGTTTGTTGTGTTTCTTCGTTGATCTTGTTGGTCCTCAGTGTGGCTTCCAGTGTGGCTAGGAATTCCGTTTTGTTGGCGTCCCTGTAGTTATAGTTCAGTCCTCGGGTGAGAAAGTCTTCTTCCGTGTCTGTCAGTTTCCTGTCAGAGAGGTTTCTTATCCAGGTGTCTGTTCTGTTGTCGTTTTTGCGGGTAAGTGTAGCTAGCTTGTCTTGAAGGGTCTGTCTTTTCTTGGCTCTTGTGGTCTGTTGGCTGATGTTGATGGCTTATTCCATGTCCGTTGTCCAGTCCTGATTGGTAGCTTCCAGGAATAAAGTTTTTTGGTGCGTAATTTCTCTGTTGTATCTGTGGAGCCAGAGTGGCACACAAGCCCACATCAACCCTACGACAACTGCTCACCCGAACTAAAGACCCACCCCCATCATGGACAGGACCAATGTCATCTATAAGATCCCCTGCAGAGACTGTGAGTAACACTACATCGGACAAACAGAAAGGAAACTAACAAAAAGGGTACACGAACACCAACTGGCTACAAAAAGATACAACCAATACTCACTCATCTCAATCCACATGGATAAGGAGAACCACCAATTCGACTGGGACAACACCAAAATCCTGGGACAAGCTAAGCAGAGACAGGCACACGAATTCCTAGAAGCCTGGTACTCCAAGAAGAAAGCCATCAATAAACACATAGAACTTGACCCCCTATACAATCCACTACAAAAGAAAACCAGAAGTGAGGCAATCCAGCTCAATGGACTCCAGAGTTTAAAAACCAGGCGGGAAAACACACCGACACTTCATCCGAGGCTGCACTGATGATGTTACCCGGCTGGGTAATGAAACGTCTGCAGAACAACAAACCAGCTTGGCGAGCCAACCAACCCAACCAACCTCAATACCCACAACCCGAGCTACAAATATACTCCAAAACCTTAGAGACACAAAATGACATTAGACTAATTTGTTACCTTAAACATCCGAAAGTATCTTGAAACTGCAGGGTCACTCATAACATTTAAATACTCCCTCCCTTTAATTTGTCTACAGCTTGTACAGGACCAGGCTCTTCTTCACCAAAGAGAGGGCTGAGGCTTGATTTAACAGAAGTTTGTAAAATTAAGAAGGGATTTGATATGTTAAAACATAGAGAACTGTGGGATTCCAAAACTGGGGATAATAAACATAAAACTGCCATTAATAAATCTAATAAGTAATTCAAGAGAAACCAATTTATCAAGAATGGATAACTCATTAGTACTGTATTTGAGGCAAATAGTATGGATATATTTAAAGGGAAACTAGATTAATACATGCGGGAAAAAGAAATCGAAATGTACATTATTAGGGCCAGATGATGTGGTGTTTCAGGAGACATTATGTGCAGTATCGACTTTTTGAGTTAAATTGTACTGTTAATTGTATGTAAAATGACTGTTTAATGGTTTGAGTGCAGATGTATTATCAGAACCGCAGCTTATTGGCCTGTTGTACCTCTTTCTAAGTGTTGTTAGAAGATGCATATCATATAATAATTAATGCTAAATGTGTGTAGTTTCTGATAGTCAATGAGCTAATTCTGTCATCCTGTAATCCCAGAACCGAATGTGGCGTAAGACCATGTCCACGAGCCCTGGAACTCATTGCTTCGGTGTTGATGCAAACAGGAATTTTGACGCTAACTTTGGAGGTGAGATATTGTTTCTAATATTGTTTTGTGATGTTGATTAATGTCACATTACATAGTATTGTGCTGAAAGAGTTGATCAAAATTAACCCTATTTTCTACAATACAATACTTGAATAATAAAACAACTTGAAACTTCTTGAACACCAACTTAATTGAAAGGAAAAACAGTCTCAATAGACCGAATGGCCTCCTTCAATTCTCATGTAACAAATAGGCTGGGTCATGGGAACAGGATGTACATAATTCTGGCCATCTGCTGACACTGAAATCTACAGCACAGAAAAAGGCCCTTTGGCCCATCAAGTCTGTGCGTGTCGAAAACAACCACCTAACTTTTCTAACTGTCCTGCTGCGTTTTCTCACTGTGGGTAAATGTCCTGCTCATGCCTCCATTGGTTAATGCTATGTTTGGTGTAAACCAAAGAAAATCCCAGGCTTAGGTCTGATCTGTGCTTAACGAATGAGTTGCTGTCAGCGCAGTGTGAGCAATCTAATTGAGCTTAGTGTTGCTGGGAACCAGAGAATAGCATAATGACTTTCAATTACTGACTCTGGTTTTGAGGAGAGAGTGCTGACAGAATATTCAGAATGGAAGGCTTCACAGCTCAACACTATCTGTGAGGGGGAAACAGTCAGCTGAAACTTACCTTTTGCTTTCACCTTATGGAAGACCACAAAGGCTGGAACATAAATGGAAAACAAACTGCATGAGGAATCAAAGTCTTTCAGGAGAGAAAAGGAGAAGGCTGGAGGAACAGGGCTTATGTTCAGAGTTCATGTTTGGGTTAGGGTGTGAGTTTGAGTTTGGGTTAGGATTTGGCTGTGAGGATAGTGTTACAAGTGGTTGACTGTCCTGTTTTGTGTTTGTATTCTCATTCCTCAAGCTTTTTGTTTCACTATTATTTGTCTTACCCTTTCTATACCTTTCAGCTTGTTTTACTTGTCATTTTCCTTTTCTTTGTAACTTTTCCTATTCCTGGCTGGGGTTTTGAGCTAGGGTAAGGGTTAATCTCATATCTTCCATTGATTCCCCAGATTTTGGATTCCTTTAAAAATTGGTGATGGCTGTGGATTCAACTTTGAATATTGGCCCAGTCGCTTGAACTCCTGAAAACAATAAGATACATTGAAATTAGGAACATGATTAGGCCATTCAGCCCTTCCAGCCTGCTCCATCATTCAGTATGATCATGACTGATGAACCAGCTCAGCACCCTGTTCCTTATTTTACTCCATACTTCTTGATCCCTTTTGCCCTAAGAACAATATCTATCTCCTTCTTGAAAACAATCAATGTTTTGGCCTCAAATGCTTTCTGTGACAGAGAATTCCATGGGCTCACCATTCTCTGGGTGAAGAAATTTCTCCTCAGCTTGGTACTGTATGTCTACCCCATATGCTTACACTATGATCCTTGGTTCTGAATTCCATGGTAATCGGGAACATCCTTCCTGCATTTACCCTGTCTAGTTCTGTTAGAATTTCATAGATTTCTATAAGAACCTCCCTCAATCTTCTATACTCCACTGCACATAGTCCTAACCAAAACAAAAACAGAAATTGCTGGAGAAGCTGTGGCAGAGACAGCAGAGTTAATATTTCAAGTCCAGTGACCCTTCTTCAGAACTCATTAGTCCTAACCAATCTGTCTCTCTTCATATGTCAGTACTCCTATCCTAGGAATCAGGCTGCTAAATCTTTGTTGCACTCCCTCCATAGCTAGAATATCCTTCTACAGATAAGGAGACCGAAACTACACACAATACTCAAGATGTGGTCTCACCAAGGCCATGTACAATTGCAGTAAGACTTCCCTGCTCTTGTACTCAAATCCTCTCACTATGAATGCCAACATACCATTTGTACTATCACTTTCAGAATCGGCATTGATTTGTTTTCAACTAAAGGGTAACTATTGGTGTTAGGTGAGAGGGCTGATAAATGTCTTGGTGCAAAGCTAATAAAAGCTGTTTTTGATTCACAGGCAACGGGAGTAGCAAAGCCCCTTGTGCAGAAAGTTATTGTGGGCCTCACGTGCATTCTGAACCAGAGGTGAAAGCCATTGTAAATTTCATAAAAAACCATGGCAATTTCATGGTTTTCATCACACTCCATAGCTATTTACAGCGTTTGCTGTATCCTTATGGATATACCCATGTGCCTCCAGAAAACTTTGAAGAATTGGTATGTTGCCTTAGTCTATTCGAAGAACTTTTTTTGAATAAACTCTTGTTTTTCTCTGTAAATGTTGATAGCTTTCTATGTACAGCAGTCACTATGGATGGTTTGAACAAATGCTTGGCTCCATTTGGATTAAGGTCCATGATTCAACAAATGTTCATGGAATCTCCAGGTAGGTGCAGCCAATCAGAGGGCATGCACATCCCAGACAGGTTTTGTATCCTAGATTACAGAAAGGGCATAGCAGAAGTCCTTGATTCTACAGAAAACCTGACCAGTAACATTTTGTCTCTTGGATGCAGCATAGTTTGGTCTTTACCACTCAAGTATTAAGCACCATCTGATTGGAGCACAGGAAAGGAAGCGCTGAAGCATAATGAAGATATGGCAAGCAAAGGATACTTTGAGGAGAAGAAAAATCCAGGGGAGAGGAAGTTCTAGACAGGAAGGAAGATTGTGGTAGGAAAAATGGAGAGGAATGGAATATTTGGCAAGGAGAAAGGATTGAAAGCACGGAAGAAGTGAGGAGGGGAAAGAAATTGTGACTGAAAAGTTCTTGAACTTGGGAAGGTTTGGGTGAAGGAATTTCTAGAGTGAAGGAAGAATGGAGGCTTTGGAAAGCTAATTCTGGATAGCAAGGAAAATTGGGTAGAAACAGAGATCTGAGAGGAAGGAAGGGCATTTTGTATGATTATGCCCCTGAGAACTGCTCTCCACCGAGGAAATAAGAACATAAGAACATAAGAAATAGGAATAGGGGTTGGCCATCTGGCCAAACAAGTCTGGTCCACCATTCAAAAAGATCATGGCTGATCTTTTTGTGCACTCGGCTTCATCTACCCACCCGCTCACCATAACGCCTTACTGTTGAAAAATCTAATTTTTGCCTTAAAACAGAAAGGAGTGGCTATGAGTTGGCTTGTAATTAAACCTGGGTCTCCCAATTGGCAGGTGAGAACTCTACCACTGAACCACCAATGCAAGCACTGCAAGACCAAATCCCAAAGTATTCAGTTTCACTTGTGCCTGGTGCATGCTATAGGCTGGTTGGAAGGGTCAGTACACTATATTTCACCCTCTTGGGACATAGCATTCAGTGCAAGCCAAAACATGGAGAAATGGAAGGCTCCTGTTTTTCCTCGCTATACAGTCTCTTTGTGACCTGAGGTTGGGGTAATTTCAGCATGACTCCTTGTAGGTATGAGTCTACAAAATATTTTCTATAACTGAACATTGATTGCAGTATTAACCCTGCAGTTGTTGCTAAAAAAAAAAGTCTAGAATAAGGGCACATAATCTAAAAATTAGGAATGGGTTGTTCAAGTTATTTACACAAAAGGGATTGGAACTTGGAACTTACTGCTTCGAAAATTCTATCGAGACTGGGATCAATAGATCAATAGACTCCAAGTAGATACACAGCCAGATTCTAAACAAGGCCTCACACCTAAAATGCATTGTCTGACCTTGAATGTCACCTCTGGTGTATTGAGGGGACTTTAGTTATCTGGGGCAGTGACTTGAAAGGAATTCTTGAATTTGCACATTAATCCTTTCTACCTGATTAAAGATTTAACAACCATCTTGGGTTGTTTAACACATTTGCATCAGTTCTATGACCCTTTGATCTTTTGCTTATAAATTCTGTGTCTGATGCCGCTGACACCTGAAGAAGGAGCGAGACTGCAAAAGCTTGTGTCTTTAAGTAAGCCTGTTGGACTATAACCTAGTGTCGCATGATTTTTGACCTTGTCCACCCAAGTCCAACACTGGCACCTCCAAATCATGGGGATCAACAGAAGATTTTGAAATCGGAATTAATATAGACTTTTGAGAGGCAAGGATATTAAGGATTGTGGTACAAGTCATGGTCATGACAGGATGTTTTAGCAATGTTGATTGAGGCATAAGTATTAATGAGGATTTGCTGCTTTTGCAGAATCTTTTAATTTCACTTAAGGGAACAGACGAAGGGTTGGGTTAACATCTTCCCTGATAGACAGAACCTCAGACGTTGCAGCACTCTCTTGGTACTGTACTGGACCATCAAGCTAGATTGTGAGCTCAAGTCTGTTGAGTGGGAGTTAAACAGACAATATGCAGCCAGTGCTTGAGTCGTACCTGTGAGCCACAGTTGAGAAGTAGATGACAACTGACTGATTTGGACAAATGTTGTTGTCATTAATTCAAGAAACAAATGACCACTGTATTAATCCCTAATGATTTTCATGACCTCTCCCTGTATGGTACAGGCCACTCTAGCCGGTGAAGCAATTGAAGCTCTGACCTCCCTGTATGGCACCCAGTATACACATGGAAGCATTGTACAGGCTATTGGTAAGTGACATATTGAAAACTGTGGTGAGTTGCTTTGTAATCTGACAAATTTCAAAGGTTCTGCTGCAATTTTAATTGTCTGTAGGTAGGACTGATTCGAAAATTGAAGAGAGTAGTTACAAAATACAGGTATAAGGGGACACAATCCAGATCCATAATGAAAGAGCATTTAACCAAATCTTTGAATGGCACAGGGTTCTGAAAGTTATAAATTCTGTTATCTTTATCTCCTTTCTCATTATTTTCATCCACCTAATGATGGGAGAGTTGAAAAAGGTACAGTGTATATATCTGTTAATTCAATCTGCAAAGAATATATAAGCAACAAAATAGGTAAAAACATTCTCTTGTTCATTTTGCAGGCCAATGCATTGAACAATCAGAGTCAGGCTGCCTGGTTTAAAATGTAAACACAGCCTGGCAGTTAACTGTCCATCATCATTAAAATGATGCATTCCCAAAGCAATACCTCTACAAATCAGAGTTCCCTTCTTAACCAATCAGTACATCCAGGGCAGGTGGGAATTAACCCAGACCTAGCTCAGAGCACAGGACACTACTACTGTGCCACAAGAGCCCAAACAATAGACGGGTATGTACACTTACTCGAAAGATTACAACGGCCTAGGGACACAATTCTAGATATTTCTAATCACCTGGTCCAGAGACACTATTATTACCTTACTGGAGCAGTTGGGATTTGAACTTGTGCCTCCTGGTCCAGAGGGATACTACCTCTGTGGCACAAGAGCCTCTAAATGTGTGTGACTTTTTTTTTGTTTTTCAAATGTGTTCCAACGACACAGCTCTGCATGCTACCCCTCCACCACAAGACAGCCCTCAAGTGTGTGACTGAAACTAAGAGAAAACATTTAAAACATCTCACTTATTAAGAAGCCAACATTTGTATTTCTTTGTCTCCTGTTCTGTATTTCCATCTAATTATTTCCAGTTTGTTTCCCATCCTAAATGGGCTGGGGGAATGCATTGTGGATAGGTCATGTGCAATGGCTCAGTTTAGGGAGCCACTTTTTTTTGATAACGGTACTAAATGTTATCAAATCAAAGCAGCTACAGCTAATTAAGAAAATTGACAAAATAGTCAGCATTCCAGATTACAAAGGCATTACATCACCAAGCAACACCTACAGGAAATAATCGTTAAACAGGGGCTGATTGCCATGTTGTGCATGTTTGCCCCCCCTCCTCCTGGAGGGACAATGTATATACATACACTGCCAGTAGCAAGCTTCCACATGAAAATGAAAATGGCTCTCTATAAGATGTTCCCATGGCAACTACATTTAATTCAGAGAGTTATGTCTTCACCTCACTGCTGTACTGAGGCATTAAAGCTTTCTCTTAAACTCACTCTGCAGTTCTGATTTTGTCAAGTTCCTGCACGCCCATTTTCCATGAGTTTTTCCAGGCCTGCCTCAGAAAATGCTTTTAATGTTTACTTCTATTGAATTTTCTTGAATCCACTTGTAGAAAGAAGTGAACAATCTCAAAACAGCACTAAGCATGGGATAAATAATCCACGTATTAATATCCTGATCCTATTTCCCATTCTAAATCAACACAAATCCAGGCCTGTTCAATCCACTCTGTTCCAGCCATGCTTGGAAGGTTTTCCTCATGATTTTTCAAAGCATCTGCCACCCTACAAAACACTAAACAAGGAAAGGATAATCATTTCAAGAGTATGTGCTGTTTTTCTTTAACAACCAGTGGGAAATTTACAAACATCTTTCATTCTGTACACTCTCTAAACAACAACTAAGCTCTGATTACCTCAGGTGTGGTTACTTACAACAATCTCCAGAGGAGATTTACCAGAAAGATTTAAGTATTTCACCTCAATGTGCAGACTGAAGAAACTGGGGCTGTTTATCTTAGAGCAGAGAAGGTTAAGGGGAACTTTGATAGGGGTTTTCAAAATGAGGATATATTTTGATAAGTAAATAAGGGAAGTTCCTTCCAGTAGCTGAAGAATAAGTAACCAGAGGACACAGATTGGAGCATAATTAGCAAAATAAATGGGTGATGAGGAAAAAAAACATTTATGCAGTGAGTTATGATCTGCAATACACTGCTTGAAGCAGGTTCGATAGGAACTTTCAAAAGGGAATTGCATAAATACTCAAAGTGGAGAATCTTGAAGAACTATGGATAAGCAGCAGAAAGTGAGATTAAAACCTAAGAGTCAAATGGCCTTCTTCGTGCTGTCTCTCCTGATTATGTGATTGTGAAACAGCACAGGACGGACATAAGCAATGCCATAGGATTCCTGCCAACATCCATTAAAAATGCATATCAGAGAAAGATTTCACTGGTTAGTTGAACAATTCAATATTTTTATGCAAGCGTTGACTGATTGGATATTTGTGCTTTGCTTGGTTGTCCATTTGAAACCTTTCTATATCTCTGTAGATCAGAGCAGTGGGAACAGCATTGACTGGAGCTATAACCAAGGTATTAAATATGCATATGCTTTTGAGTTGCGCGATGAAGGTCAATATGGCTTCATGCTTCCACCGAATCAAATCATTCCCACGGCTGAAGAAACCTGGTTGGCCATCAAGAAAATAATGGAGCACGCTTCCGATCGCTTACCTTGATATTGTTACTTCTGATTTAGAAGGCCAGTGCTGAGGGCCAACCAGCTACCTAATTGTATTGTTATTGTGCATCCTTTCTGCTGCATGACAATAGATACAGAATCACATACTGCTATAATGCTTAGCACAACATGCAGTGCAAAATGATGAAAGCTCATTTCTCTCACCTCTGCCATTGCAGATTTACTCTAATTCCAGCCTTAATGGGCAAATAGTTTAATAAGATGCCTGAGTGACAGGGTTGACCTTAGTCTTAACGTATAACAGCTTGTTCATTGTCAATTTGAATAATATCTCAATTTGAACAATGTGAGATTTTCCACGCCCTGGGTGAGGATTTACTTCAATCTCAGAATATGTGTGTAGTGTTGAATTATTCAATTTGTCTATATTTGTCTGGCTGCTAACTATTCACTGACTTGTAGGTGATTAGTTCAGCGTGGATGAGGTTACTGAGAAAGAGAAACGAAACTCTAAGCAATGGGAAGTATGACAGCAGTTCATTGAGAGTATAAATAAACTTACACTCCAAATTCAACATCTGAATGTATAACCTCCGAATATCTCCAAGGCATGAAATACGAGGTAACTTTAATCTCATTTGTACCACAATCTGAAAGGGCCTTCCACTCTCAACATTTACATTGGTAACAATATCAGTTTAAGAATCTAGCTCAATTGCAAAATGAAACGACTTAATCCAACCTCAGGATTTAAGATTTTGCAGTAGAATGAAAATTCACGATCTCAGAGTTTAAGGATTTACCTTAGCACGGTGTTTACATATTTGCATAAAACCAGTTGAAGGTTGTGCTCCAAACTCATCCTGTGAGGGTCTGCCTTAAATTTAGTTAAAGATTTCACCTTTAGAAGTTTAATTCATTGTTGGTTAAGGGTTTATCATAATACTTAATTAATATTCACAGTTGAACATATAGATCCCTACCTCTAAGCTCATGCATTTTGGCCCATATAAGTTAAGGTTTTACCACAAATACATGATTTAACTGTGCATCCCAACCTAGGAATTTATATCGGTACCCTGTCTGACTGTTTAATTTTTGATGCCAAATTCATCATTTTCCAGATAATCATTTTTCAGTTTTGTTCAAATCTCATTGGTTCAAAGGGTTCACCTCAATCTCAAATTAAGAATGTGTTAGAATGATATTTGCTGTGCTTGATGTTTAATATACAATGCTTGTCAAGTATGTATTCATATAATGTTTATTAAAAATCATTACCTGTTGATCACAAATGAAGGTGTGACCTCAAATCAATATCTGTCCAGTTTGTGATTGGACAGACCACCTTTTTCACAGCATTGTTGTGGTGCAGAAGGAGGCCATTCGGCCCATTGTCTACCACTGGCTGTCCAATGAGCATTAGGAATTAGTTCCATTCACCTGCCTTGCACATTATTTCTATTCAAATAATCATCCAATGCTCTTTTGATTTCCGAAATTGACGCTGCCTCCACCACACTTGCAGGCAATGCTTTCCAGATCTAAACCACTCACATGAAAAGTTTTTTTTTCCTCACAGCTTATTTGTTACATTTGCAAATCTGTGACCTATTGTTCTCGACTCTTCGTGAGTGGAATGCTTTTCCTACGTACACTATCCAAACCATGTATGATTTTGAAAACGTCTATAAGATCACCTCTTAGACTTCTTCTCTCCATTAAGAACAATCCCAACTTCTCCAATCTATCCTTATAACTGAAGTTACTCATCCCTGGAACCAATTTTGTCATAGAGTCATTGAGATGTGCAGTATGGAAACAGACCCTTCGGTCTAATTTGTCCATACCGACTAGATATCCTAGATAAATCTAGTCCCATCTTCCAGCATTTGGCCCAAATCCCTCTCAACCCTTCCTATTCATATACCCATCCAGATACCCTTTAAATGTTGTAATTGTACCAGCCTCCACCACTTCCTCTGGTGGCTCATTCCATACACGCACAACCCTCTGTGTGAAAAAGTTACCCCTTAGGTCCCTTTTAAATCTTGCCTCTCTCACCTTAAACCTATGCCCTCTAGTTTTGGATTCCCTCACTCCAGGGAAAAGACCTTGTCTATTCACCCTATCCACGTCCCTCATGATTTTATAAACTTCTACAAGGTCACCCCTCAGTTTCTGACACTCTAGGGAAAACAGCCCCAACCTATTCAGCCTCTACCTATAGTTCAAACTCTCCAACCCTGGCAACATCCTTGTCAATATTTTCCAAACTCTTTCAAGCTTCACAACATCGTTCCTTCAGCAGGGTGACCAGAATTGCACGCAGTATGTCAAAAGTGGCCTAACCAATGGCTGTACAGCCACAACATGACCTCCCAACTCCTAGACTTAATGCACTGTCCAATAAAGGCAAGCATACTAACTGCCTTCTTCACTATCATAACTACCTGTGACTCAACATCCAAGGATTCTTTGTTCAACAGCACTCCCCAGAACCTTCCCATTAAGTGTATAACTCCTGTCCTGATTTGCCTTTTCAAAATGCAGCACCTCGCATTTACCTAAATTAAACTCCATCTGCCAATCTTTGGTCCATTGGCCCATCTGATCAAGATTCTGTTGTACTCTGTGGTAACCTTCTTCGCCATCCACTACACCTCCAATTTTGGTGTCATCTGCAAACTTACTAACCATACCTGCTGTGTTCACATCCAAATTATTTATATAAATGATGAAAAGCACTGGACTCAGTACTGATTCCTGTGGCACACCACTGGTCACAGGCCTCCAGTCTGAAAAGCAAGCCTCCACCTCCACCCACTGTCTTCTACTTTCAAGCCAGTTCTGTATCCAAATGGCTAGTTCTCCCTGTATTCCACATGGTCTAACCTTGCTAACCAGTCTACTATAGGGAGCCTTATTGAACACCTTCCTCATTCCTTCCAATGCATTCACATCCTTCCTATGAAGTGGTGCTGAAAACTGTACAAAATACTCTAGCTGAGGTCTAAGAAGTGTCTTGTAAAAGTTAAGCATAATCTCCTTGTTCTTAGAGTCATGCTGCATGCACTCTCCACCTGTCTTGCCACTTTCAGTGATCTATGCAGTGGTCCTTCTGCTCTTGCACTTCCTTAGCTGTTGTATCCCCAGGTTGTCTGACCATACTGTTTCAACTAAACTGCATCCCTTCACTATTCTCCACACTGAGCCTGATCTGTAACCTGTCTTCCTACTCCACCAACTTGTCTATGTCATTTTGGAATCCTACACCGTCCTCACATTTCATAATGCTTCCAAATTTTGTATCATCTACAACCTCAAGATTGTCCCCTGCACACCAAGATCTAGAATATTAAATATGAGGAAAAACAAGACTCCAAATATTGACCCCTGGAGAACTCCACTACAATTCTTCCCCCAGCGTAAAAAATATCCATTGATCATTATTCCCTATTTCCTATTACTCGACCAATTTTGTCATCACATTGCTACTGTCCTTTTTATTTCGTGAGCTATAACTTTTCTCACAGGTCTATTGTGTCATGTTGTATCATTGTATCAAACACTTTTTGAAAGTTCATGTACACCACATCAACAGTGGTACCCTCACTGACCTCTCTGTTACCTTTACAGAAAACTCCAGTATGTCAGTCAAACAAGATTTCTCCTTCAGAAAACCATGCTGCCTGTTCCTAAAGAACCCACATTTTCTTCATGACTTCTGTTTCCCATAACTGAAATTAAACTGACTGATCTGTAATTGCTGGCTTTATCCTTACAACTGTTTTTGAACAACGTAATGTTTGTAATTCTCCAGTCCTCTGCCACCTCTTCTGAAATTAGGGAACACAGAGAGATTATTGCCACTGCCTCTGCGATTTCCCCTCTCACTTCCTTCAATATCCTTAAATGCATCTCTTTCTTTCCTGGTGCCTTACCAACTTTAAGTATCGATAGCCCATCCAGTACTTCTTCCTTATTAATTTAGAATTCTTCTAGTTACAGAGCTTCCTCCTCTGTCACATTAACCCAGGTAGTATCAAACTCTTTGTTAAAGGTGGAAGCAAAGTATTCATTTAACACCTTAGACATGTCTCTTGCCTTTCTATAAACTCCTTTTTTGTCCTTAATTGTCCCTAGTCCTTTTTACCTTTTATTCAAATTATTGATGTGACTATGAAAATTTCGGGATTCCACTTTATGTTGGCTGTCAGGTCTTTTCTCAAATTTTCCTTTCTGCTTCTCTCACATTCTTTCTCACGCTCTGACCCTTCTGTATTCTTCTTGGCCCTCAATTGTATTTTCTACCTGACACGTGTCATCCTTGTGCAAATTCGTGAAGTGTTCCATTTTTTTGGGGGGGGCAGCACGATGGCTCAGTGGTTAGCACTGCTGCCTCACAGCGCCAGGAACCCAGGTTCAATTCCACTCTTGGGTGGGTGTCTGTGTGGAGTTTGCACATTCTCCCCGTGCCTGCTTGGGTTTCCTCTGGGTGCTCCAGTTTCCTCCCACAGTCCAAAGATGTGCAGGCTAGGTGGATTAGCCATGCTAAATTTCCTATAGCGTTCAGGGATGTGTAGATTAGGTGGGTTATAGGCAGATGGGTCTGACAGTCAGTGTGGACTCGTTGGACTGAAAGGCCTGTTTCCACACTGTAGGGATTCTATGATTATGATCATGACCTGTTACAAACCTTAGTTCCATGTTTGTGTGTGCAGGAGCAGCTGTGCTCAGTGACAAGATTTTTTTTTGGCTTTTCAACCAGGACCAGCTGTGTGTTTTCCAGAGTACTCTGCATAATGACAATATCTTGACTGGTTCCTGGGCGAGTGGCTACAGTTTTGTGTTGAGGTAGTACAGAAGAAACAGCCAGCCTGTGAAGGAGAAATCATCCTACTTTCTCTCCATTCTGAATGGAGAAGTAAAGGAAAGTCCTGAGCAGCTGGCTACTCTCTCTGCAAATTCCCATCTTGAAAAGGAAAAGAGAAAGAAACACCTTCAGAGACACTGAATGGATGAAGCCTAAACCGGTGAATGAAAAGATTGAAAATTGATGTGTCTACAACCTTATTTATTATAATCTGTGCATTCACATACATGCACACTAACTCTGATTTAGACTTCATTACTTTTTTCCCTTATTCTGATTTCATCTACTAGCTTACTATTGTCTAAGCATTTTGTATACTCTGGTATTCCTCTCTAATATTCTCTCTTCATTCCCACACACCTGCCAAGTTAGTTTAAAGTCCTCCCAATGTCGTGTCCATGTGCTCATCTGACAATGCTAGCCAACTCATTGAAATATCATTCAAGAAAGCTATAAATATCTGCGCTGCAGCACTATTTCATGACAATGTAGATTCACTACCAGTGTGTGAATCAGTATTCATTGAACTTATGAACTCAGCAGCTGTGCAGTTGAATTCAGTTTCAATGACACAGTGTACTACCAAATAGATGGTGTTGCCACAGGATCCGCACTAGGGTCCAGAGCTCACAAATATCTTTGTTGGATTCCATGAAGAATGGTTCTTCAATGGAATGACGTTTACCCTCCTACACTTTGCATATTTCTGAAACCTTGATTATACGCTTGCTATATTAGAATCCACAGCAATGTGTAAGAATTTCTTTACATGTCTTAATTAGGTCTATCTGCGTGGACTTGGAACAAAAGCAAAATAGTGTAGTTGCTGGAAATCTTAAACAGTAACAAAGTGATGGAAATAACCAGCAGATCTGACAGCATCTGTGGAGAGACAGAAACAGATTTAATGTTCCAGGTCAGTAACAGGGTACCCAATACCAGAATGGACAAAAAAGGGAGATGTAATAAGTAATCATGTAATAGACCCTTCCTCATTGTTCTTCTTCCCCTTCCTCAATTATATTTATTATAGTTGTATCTTTCCTCAGCTCTGACTAATTGCCATTGAACGGAAACATTAATTCTGTCCACGGATGCTGAGTGTTTCCAGCAGTTTCTGCAATTACACCAACATAGTTTGGTTTAGACAAGTGGTCTGTTATGAAACAAATCAGTTCTGAAGAAGAGAGATAACAAGGTGTAGAGCTGGATGAACACAGCAGGCCAAGGCAGCATCAGAGGAGCAGGAA